CCCTGCACAGGGGTGCAGAGGGAAGGAGTGCTGGCCCTGCACAAGGAGTGCTGGCCCTGCACAGGGGTGCAGAGGGAAGGTGCCCAGACTCACGTGCACGTCTGTCCTGTCGGCCACCCAGCGTGCCAGCTGCTCCGCCGCGAAGCCGCGCACCTGCAGCTCGTAGGTGTCCCCCCGCTTGGGCTTCCCCTTGGCAGGGAAGTTAATGAAAGTGGGGGCAGAATTCATGTTCAGCTGCAGGGAGAGAGTTCACAGAGGATATAGCCTATGAAAGGATTATTTGGTAACACTATTCTACACTATTTCTGGCTTGCAATATTGTTACTGAATCAGGAAAGTTAGCTCTTTGATTTAATGGCCATGACTTTTTTAAAAAACCAATAGGCAGCACACAGCTTGCAGTTCTATATTTCATGCACTTTTTTTTTGAATCTGTTTCTTCTCCAAATACTACTTTTGGTAAAGAAATCTGCGAAATAGCAATATATGAGTCTAAAATATGGCCTTCTAGAAAGGCCACAGCTTGATGAATGCATTTTTAACGCAACACTAAGGAAAAAAATTAACAAGAGTAATAAAAAGACATCTCTTTTCAACTCTCCAGTTCAAAAGCTTCCATTTAATAAAGTATTACTGCCTAAACTGTGTGGCTGTTAAATAGAGATTAGTACCTCTTAAAAAAAAGTTAACATCTGCAAGACTGTAATGAACTATTAATGTGACCTACAATTTCAAGTGTACATGGAATGTTCTCACAGCTGGAGAACAAAAAAAATGTGATCACGCAATGTTAAAAGAAGAGAAAAATGGCTGGGTACTTGAAAAGAAATACCAAAAGCCTAATTTATCATTCTCTAGTCATCTAAAAATTGTAATAGCTGCTCCTAATGACATCAGTGCTTTCTATCTTGCCTCTTCACGTACCACAGAAGAATTGCATTAAGAATTATACCAGAAGTTATTACAGGAGACAAACTCGGGGAAAAAAAGTCAAAGAAACCAATTCACTCCTTTTACCTATTCCACATCTGTCAGTTCTGTTAATATTCTTACCAACATGCTCAGGCCATCTTTCTTTCAAGAGTGACAGCCTTTAACTTTTCATTCCTTTGTTCAATGTAACACTAAATTATTTAACATCTTTACCTTCTTTCCCAAAACCCAAACTAAAAACAACATTAGAAGAGAAAAAGACATTACCATCTGAAACACGTCTGAGCCTTCGTCAAAATCCACCATAGCAAAAAATATCTTGTTGGTAAATGCACTGGAATACCTCCAGGAGTTTGCCAGAATCTGGTATTCCTCATCAGCTTGTCTGGAAAACACACCAAGTGAGAGGCTGTGGCATGGCTTTGTCCACAGCAATTGTGCAAGTTGTAAAGCAGCTGTGCCCACCCACCCCATCCATGGGTGCCTCCCACACCCACCCCATTAATTTTCTAGGGTTCAAAAGAAAGTTTAAGTGTTAATGAAATAATTTAAGCACAGACGCTCTTCTACCTACACTTCTTCTACACTTTTCTTCAGGGAAAGCATTTGGCACCTGCTTTTTTAAATGGAAGGGCAAGATTTGTTGAGTCCACAAACGCAAGCTGAGGTAGTTTCTAACTGAAAAGTGAACTGGAACTCAGCTGCTCAGGATTTGCCAGTCCACAGAGCACCAAAATGTGGCCAGGTGTACTCTTTCTTCCAGGTCATAGGGTGGGAAACCAAGAATTTCAAGGGACCAGGTATAAAAATCACCCTTGCAGAACTCTGCCACCTCCAGATTAATAAAGAAAAGCTATAATATGGTTAAGGAGCCAGAATATTGGAATTGTAAATAAGTGCCAAGCAATATATTAATTAAGAACAACATTTAAGCTCCATGGCCAGCAATAATTCTACAACATTTCTTCAGCAGCTTATGCCAGGAAAGTTGAGCTTTCACTGTGTCTTTCTCCAGAGTAAACACTGTTTCTGCAAAGGGAACAGTGGATTATTTTAGGAGGGAGATAAAACTGAGGATTATGTTTCCTCACAAACACATTACACACATATTCCCACACATTACATTGCAAAGCCAATCCTTCTGTAACTCGCCCATGCATATTCCCCCCACCTGTGTCAAAGTGCAACCCTGCTCTTAAATTTAGTGTCCTACAAAGCATCAGATGGCTTTCAAGTTCTAATTTAGGACTGAAGGAGCTCATACTTGCACACAACACACTGTCTGTGAGGCTGAAGGGCAGTGAACATCACAATCACTGAGTAGTTCCTGGGAGGGGCCTTCACCAGGCGCCGGAATTTGTCTCCGTTCATTCGGATCACGGATCTCTTACTGGCCCACTCCATCAGCTGGTTCACTTTTTCTGATAGCACCATCTGAAAATGGTAACGAAACACTATTATTTTGGGGTTTTTTTTCAGTCTCACAGTACAGTCTTAGGTTTTAGATTTGATGCAACAAATATCTGCACTGCTTTCCACGACGCCACCCAGGTGATGTGATACTGCAAGGCATTCACAGGAGATGTGACAGTCATGTTAACTTCATTAACTTCAGCCAGCCAGTAACACACAGAGCTTTAAGCACTCAGCATGACCAGGCTGGTGAAGACCCTCAGCTCAGCAGCCCCTCCTCAGAGCAGCTGCAGGATTTCTTTCAGCTGTACCAACCACCTCCATCCCCTCCACAGCCTTTTTGCTAGACTAAGCATCAAACTGTTTCAGCTTTCAAAAATTGCGGCAGTGGAATCAACACCACAGATGGAACCAACCTCAATATTTCATTTTCAGCACTGCTGGAAAAAAAAGAACCATAATTCGGAATATATTTGAAAAACTCAGAAGTGCTCAACACTAAAATATTCCTTAAAAAGGAGACAATCAATTCTAGAATATTATAAGAAAAGGCATTAGTTTGACAAACTCACAAATGTTACATTTATCATAAAGCACTTCTCTACTCATTAACACCCTTCTTCAGATAAATATCTTAAAGGAAACCACCACAATATATCCTGAATTGGAAGGGAGCCAGTAAGAGCATCAAAGTCCAACTCCTGACCGTGCACAGGGCAGCCCCAAGAATCTCGCCATGACGATAATAATAATAATAATAAATTATTCTTCCCTGACTTATAACTGACACAAGTATACACGCTTATATAGGATGTCTCTAAACCCTGCAGGTCAAGTGCGTGGAATTAAGTTGCACCTTAGCGACTACAACCACTCATCCTCCCTCCAGCAAATCCCTTACACTAGGAAGACAACACCCGTACAGTGCTCCTAACAAGAACCGAAGAACCTGGAAGCACCTTCCCTCCCTGCGGGCTCCCCTCAGGGCCGGCCGAACCTCAAGGCGGGTCCCCGGGGTGAGGCCAGGCCCCCCCGCCGTGCCCCGGCCGGTCCTGCCCTCATCCCACTCAGCGAGAACCCGCCCCGGCGCAGCGCGGGGGCTCCGAGCGAGTCTCACCTCCTTCCGCCTCTGCCCCGCGGCGCCGGGCCCGCCACATCCCGCCAGCAGCAGCAGCGCCAGCGCCAACAGCGGCACCGGCAGCGCCGCCATGGCCGCCCCGCTCCGCCCGCCCCGCCGGCTGTGAGGCCCCGCCCACGAGACGGCGATTGGCGGAGGCGCCGGCTCGAGAGTCCCTGCCTGCCTTCGATTGGCTGAGCCTGAGGGAGCGCGGCGAGCTGGAGCCGTGCCATTGGTGAATCCCCGAGGGGAGGGCGGGGCGAGCCCTGAGGGAGGAAAGTGCGGCGGAGGCTGCGGGCGCCTCAGAACGCTCCCGGCGCTCAGGGAGCTCTGCAGATCCCCCAGACACGGGCTCCGGGCGCAGGTCACACGGTGTTGCCCCCTAAGACACCGGATTCGCTAGCCGGTGTGCAACAAGCCAATAATCACACACTCCGAGATCGATTTATATCACAGTTGTGCAAGCCTTGAGTGTTCAGCGGTGTTCCATAAATCAAGCATGCCAACTCTCAAAACTTTTTGCTGTTTATAGGTTTTAACAAAGGAGTTTCACTGGGTACAAGTAATGTAGTTCTCTTATTAATTAGTATTCTGTCTCCTATTGGTCGATGCTTCTCTTTGCTTCCCATACTAATTAGAGCACAGGTTGTGACTTTCTCTTCTTTTTGGTCAGCGGGTTGGCGGTCGTGGTCTGCCCCTGCTGGAATTCCCTTTCACCAGTTACAACTGATTTCAGCCCAGTTGCTGAGTTGGCTTTGTTAGTGTCTTCCTTATTGTGGGAGTTCTGCAAAATGTCCTTGAGGGCCATAAATTCTGCATTCTTTGTGTCCGTGATCAGTGGCACATCCTCCTTCCCCAGCTTCCCCTAAGCCTGAGGTAATTGAAACATGTCAAGCCCTAAACTTTAACAAGGCAGTTCTACCAAAAAGTAATTTTTTTCCAACATCTGGACGTCACTTAGAGCTTGATACCTGCTGTTTCATGGATTAAATCTCCTTCCTTGTTGATTAGGCTAGAAAGTTCACAAAGATCAAACATCAAAGAACATCTTTTCTCAAGAAAATTTTACATAATCCACATTTTGAAACAACACGAATGCTTGCAGATGGGTTTTGAGTGTCTCCAAAGAGGGGGATTCCACAGCTTGCCTAGGCAGCTGTTCCGGTGCTCTGCCACTCTCAGTGTAATGAAGTTCTCCCTCTTGCCTCAGACACATGCTTCATGTTATACATACACGCTGTAAATTGCTGGGTAGCGTGTTACAAATATTGTTAAAATCCAAATGCACAGGGGAATGCCTCAGCACGTGTGTGCTGGGTTAAGGCTCTGCTGCAGAATCGCCAGGGAAAGATGAGGATTTACTCACGCTTCAGGTTTTATTTTTAAATTATTTCTGATTCCTATTTGCACTGAAATCCCAGATTTTTTTCAACTCGGCCCTTTCGCAAATTTAAGTCAACCCACTCAGCGAGAAAAAAAAAAAAAGTGGTGTCAGAAGTGGGATTCGAACCCACGCCTCCATACGGAGACCAGAACACCCAAACCCGCCGCGGGAAGGCGCGGAACGCCTTGAGTCTGGCGCCTTAGACCACTCGGCCATCCTGACACTGCGTCTGCAGTCCCGTTCGGGATACACTTAGCACTGTCGTCACGGTCGTAGTCGCCTCTGTATTCCGTGACCCTTCACGGAGAGCCCGTCTGTACCCAGGAGGTGCAGGAGAGCAGCCAGGGAACGGCCAGCTCAGCTCGGCCCGGCCGCGGAGCTCTGCCGCAGCGAGGAGGAGCCCGGCGTTACCCACAGGCCCTTGCCGTGCCGCCACTTCCGCCGCGACCATTTTGTTCTTCACTGGCGTCAAGGGTACGCGCTCGGCTCTCATCATGTTCCCGCTGACCAGGGCCGCGCAGAGCCTCGTCGGTAAGCACAGGGGCGGCTCTCGGGGTGTGGGGGGTTCCTCAGGGGGTCTCCCCGGTTTGTGCCCTCCCCTGTGCGGACTGTCCCTCAGCCCCCGACTCTGTGCACCGGGGACGGTGAGGGCACCTCAGGGGCTGCGGGCGGCTCTGGCGTCCTTCGCCTCCCGCTTTTCTAATTTATTTCAGACTTTTTTTATCTCCTAGTTGCTTTTTGGTATAGGACTGCTTTCTTTGGTGCTTTCTTTACCTAGTACGTTTGTGCCCTCCCTGTGCGGACTGTCCCTCAGCCCCCGACTCTGTGCACCGGGGACGGTGAGGGCACCTCAGGGGCTGCGGGCGGCTCTGGCGTCCTTCGCCTCCCGCTTTTCTAATTTATTTCAGACTTTTTTTATCTCCTAGTTGCTTTTTGGTATAGGACTGCTTTCTTTGGTGCTTCCTTTCCCTAGTACGTAAAGGCACATTCTGGCCTTTACGTGCGGTGGCGAGGGGCGGTCAATAGCCAGCCTTAAAGTCAAGGTTAGAGTCAGCCCTTCAGTCACACAGACCCCTCTGGTCCTGCGGCACGATGTGCCTCTCCCGAGGTGCGCGCACCTGAAATAAATGTGTCTCCCTAGACATTTTTTGTGTTTAAAAAAATGCCTTGTGCCGTGTTACAGAGCATGCGAGGGATGCAGTAACATGTAGTAACCTTCTCTAATCACGGTTGGGTAAAAATGCAAACCATTGACCTAAGGCTGAAAAGTTTTATTTTGTAATATCTTTATGCACACATCACCCTCTCATCAAATGCTTTGTACACAACTAATGGGCAATCTGGCTTTTGTAGCTGTTGCTTTGATTTTTCACTGTTGCCTTCTCTTTAATAAGTGTACCTTTTATAGTGTACACTTATAATGTACGTCATCTAAAGATATCATGGTGTTATTTTTTTCTCTATTATTTATCTCATGCCCACGGGTTATTTCAGTTTCCTTCCTCCACTCCCTTCAAAAATCCCAAGGGAATGAGGCAGGTGTTACCCACACCCACTACCTGCAACCCCTTAATTTGATGGTGAGCTTCATCCTGACATTGCTTGGGTACATGTACTGCCAGGATAGATATTTGCATATAGAAATCTAAAAATGCAAGAACTAAACAAAATATTTTATTAGAGAAACAGTAATACCAAAGAAAACATTTTTTTTTAAAAAAAGTTACATTAGGGGATTTTTTTTTTACTGGAATTAGACTTAAGGAATAACTTTCTAGAGGGAAATTGAGAGAGCTGAAAAAAATTAAAGTATTTTGTATATCCTGCGTTTTGGAGTAATTCCAGAGTTCTAAATCCAAATTAATATTTTTCCAGCATTTTTAGTCTTTTAACACTAACACTTGCCTCTCTGTTGGTGGGAGATGAGGAGTGGGAATGGTTTGAGCCTAGCTTTGAGTTGATTTCTGTACTTGTTAACACTCCCCAGCTCGTGGCATCCAGCACACTGCAGTCAGACAAGCTCATCGCAAGCACGAGCTGACCTTCCACGATAAGTACGGAACCATGGTCCTCCTTGGTGGAGCTGCCATGTTCACTGCTGTCTGGGGCTATGTAAGTTGGTTTTGTCACCACTCTCTTGTGACTCCAGCTGCAGGCTTTAAAAGTGTCAGTTTTGCCTGTTCGAAATAAATTCGGTGGTCAGAATTTAGGAGCTTCTTACATAAGCAGATAGTGATGTGATAGAGGGGAAAGTTCTTTTAAAGGCCAGCTTGAGTTTGAGTTGTTACTCAAATTTCTGCATCAGACTGTTGCCTGGTTTGACAATGTATCAGAAATACAAGTGTTCTCAATTTTACTTGGGATGTCAAACCTCTACAGGTACAGCTTTCAGCAGCAAAACCTCTAGATGAAAATACCAATATGGTGGTGGGGTTTTACATTCCAGATTCTTTCTTCTACAGTTGGGTATTTCGAAATAGAAAACTGAAACACTATTCAATATAAATATATTCTACTTCTTTAATTAGAAAGCTAATGAGATGTCGTGTTCTAATAACAAGAAATCTGAGCTGAAAACAATAAAAATAACCCCATGTCCAAAGCTTTCTTTGATTTCAGAATTAATAATCTTGGGTTTTATCCCTTTACAGGTGCTCACAACGCTGAAAATTGAGTGGGGCTTTTCACCTGTTGGCAGAGTGGCTCCAAGCGAATGGAGGGAGTGACAGCCTCTGCTTCTAATGAACTGGTCTGAACTTTCACTGAGAAAATGGTCATGTAGTGGCATTTGTTCCCTGATTTCCACTTGGACAGTGGCATTCCTGATCTAATAAACATAACTAGAAACCTGTCTGGCTCTTCCAGGTTTCCTCTGTGCTCTGCTTCTGCTGAAGTATAAGAAATAGTGTAAAAACTCCCAAGTAATTTTACACAGTCCCAGGTGTTGTTGTAAAAATCACTGGTGGATAAAGGACAAGTCCAGAACTTCTTTGAGTTTTCCTTTAGCCAGGTGTGTGTGTGAATCAACCTCACTGCATTCCCACTGCAGAGTGAACATCCCTTTACATCTGACTTTTAATGACAAAGTTGAAATCCCTTTTTTTCTTTCACATAAGGATTTTTATGGCTTGAATCCCATTGCTAGTCGGCTGCTTCTCCTGTGACCCCTGAGAGTTGTGAAGAAATTAAATTCAGTTTTGAGTTGGAGAGGCTCCACAGGAGCAGTCAGTATCCCAGGATCAATGGGACTTTCTTATTTTATTCCTAGGGAATCCCAGAACGATTTGGGGTGGGAGGTACCCAGGTTTGGGGTGGTTCCAACCCTGTCTCTGCATTTAACTTCTGTTTACGGTAGAAGTAACCAGAGAAATGAGGTGGGAAAAGAACAGTTACGGGCTCATGCTGGCGTTTGATGCTCAGAGATCCCGGAATGGTTCGGGCTGGGAGCGCGCCGAGCCGCGGTCGCTGCGGCGGGCGGGCTCCTGTGGCCGTACGGCGACAGCGACCGCGGCCCCGCCTTTCCCGCCGCCGTCACGTGCCCGCCCGCGTCACGTGGCGGTGGGCGGGGCCGAGCGGGTGGTCACGTGGCGCGGCGGGGGAAGAGCCCGGCGGTGCCGGGCCGGGAGCGGCGCTCGGAGCCCGCGGTCTCGGTGAGTCGGGCCCCGCTCGGGGCTCCCCTCCCTCCGGCGGCGCGGACCCGCCTCGGGACCCCGCCTTCGTTGTTTCCCTCCGTCGGCGCGGACGCTTCTCGGGGCCCCGCCTTAGTTGTTTCCCTCCATCGGCGCGGACCAGCCTCGGAGCTGCCGCTCCCCCGATCTGTCCCCCGGGGCTGTCCCCGGCAGTGCGGACCCTCGCGGGGTTCCCGCTTCCCTCCGGGGGCGCTCCCGCGGCCTCAGGTGCGTGCGGACCCGCCTGGGGGCTCCCGCTTTCCCGCGTGCTCCGGGGCTGTCCCCGGCGGGGAGGGCTGTCCGGGCGGTGCCGGAGCGTCCGGGCCCCGGAACCCGCCCGGCTCTGTCCAGCCCCCCGGAGGCGCCGTCCGCTGTGCGAGGGTACCCCAGCCCGGCGGGAACGGGGGTGCCCCGGGGCTTCACCCCGGAGCGCCTCGGCGGCATCTCCGCGTCGCGGCTCCTGCTCAGCCGCTTCCCGGGGGCAGCGGGGCCGGAGCCCGGCTCCGCTCCCGGGGCTGTCCGCGGTGCGGGTCTTGGCCCGCAGGAAGCGTGCGCTCGCTTGGAAAAGTCCCTGTGCTGCTCCTGTCAATGCCAGGGAAAGTCTCGGAGCGCGTGAGTCACTGAGCTGCTGTTCCAATTCGGAGCTGCTCCTCTGAAACTCCTTACTTAGTGTTTGTTCTGGTGTCACCTTTTGCCACCTTATGATGGCAGCACTCTGTGCACAAGCACCTTTTTCTAATTAGAAGCATAGTGTGGATATTCTAGAAAAGGGCAAATAGTTGTTGATGGTGCTTTGGGGTGAAATCTCGCAAAAGAACAACACAACTTAACTATTGCCTCCCTGTGTTTATGTTCTGGAAATTGTATGTAAGTAGTGTAAAGTTAAAATCATAAAATCTTTCATGCAGTCAGCAAAGGTTGAGTTCTGTACTTAAACACTTGTTGAATTGTGTGGATGTAAATAGGCAGAGATTTGGTAGTGTGGGACTTGGTGTGTGTGAGAATGCCCTGTGTGAGCACAAAAACAGTTGGATTAGGAATTAATAATTATAATGTATTTTCTTAGTAGAGAAAAGACCTGAAGCTTTTTTTCCTTACCAGGTGGCCAAGTAGGGAAGCAAAAGCTAACATTATATGTAGTTTGCTGTCTTACTTAAAAATAAGAATTATTTTTACTGTGTAATGCATTCCACCTTGTTCTGCTGAGTACTTTGAGACTAAGCTTAAGACTGAAGAGCCCCCATTGACCTTGGTATGCTTACATAACAAGGGGTTATAAATTATATTCTGCTCATAATGTTTCCTATGATTCTTCCAAGGAAACATTCTTGTTCTCAAAAAATCTGACTTCAGGAGGTTGTGGAAAGCCAAGAACGAGTTAAAGGATTTGCTAAGAATTTGTCTCAAGTACTGTAAAACTCCTTGGAAGTGAAGCAGAATGTTTGCAAGGCGTGCTTTTAATTTTTTTCCCTATGCAGTTGGTACAGAAATAAATTCCCTGAGAGCAATTTCCACGCTCCGCTGACCAAGCAAGGCTTGTTAAAGTCTTGAGCAACATGAATTACAACCTATTTAAAGTGTCACGTAGCTGTGACATTTATTGCAGATGCACAGTTTCTCTCTCAATGATTAAGCCTCACCTACCCATGGGCCTATCACACATATCTCCTACCTAGTCACACTTTCCAGTGGCTCTGTTTGCCCATGAACCCTATAAAACCTCCTTCTTCCCTGTTGGACCCATCTCCTGTAGCACTTTTCAAGCCCAAGGGTGAGATGATGCAGCTTTTTCCCTTTCCTGCCCTTTGCTCTTTTCCATAGGTCCCTGCAGACACTGAGGGACAGGCACCTTTTTTCCATTTAATGTAAAAAGTGATTTAGATTTCTGCTGCCATAAATAAAGAAGCCAAGTAGCACTTGGCCATTTAGAAATTTAATAAAATCCGAAGGCTGTAATTAAACTTTCAAGATTCTGTTGCTGGCATTTGTGTGGTATTTGCCAAGCTGTGACCTCTTTTAACTTCAGCAGCTGTAAATGCAAGGAATTGTAAACTGGTGAAAACTGGAACTGTGCAGGTAACCAGAAGCATCTGTCATCCCTGGTTGTACCCCTGCTAGTCCCAAAACTGGCCCAAAGTGTGTCTGTGGGGCACAGAGCTCTGCTGCTCGGGGATGCCTGGGTGTGCTCAGATATTAGAAGCACCAAGGTGCCTTTTTAGGGTTAAATGGGATTCTTCAGTTTTTGCTGGTGTTGTAACTTCCGCTTTGCATTGCTCATTTTTTTTCAATTTTTTTCTTTTTTTTTGATAGTGTGGGTTTATGAATTCTATAACCTCATTGAGCCTTATTTCTTCAGATATTTTACTTAGTGACTGGTGTTAGCCCATCAAAAAACTGTTTACAGAGATGAATGTCTCAGTTACCTTGTGCATGATCACTATTGAATTTTCCTTTCCATAGGGAGAAATTTCTGTTGGAAGTAGAAATCACCTCTTTTTTATTGCTTCATTTTCTTCTCAGAAGCACTAACTGACTTCCTTGAAGAAAATGGAACTAAACACAGAGCTGGTAACTCCTAAAGGGAACTGCCATTTCTTTGTGCTGTCAAATAATGAAATTCTTTACTAATTGATGGTAAAGGTGTTTTATAGACGGAGCAATTGGATAAGAATAAAAGCATTATTTTTTCTCTAAAACCTGTGTAACCTGTAACTTAGCATCTCAGGTCTTTTCAGGACTTCAGCTTCAAGTCTTTTCTCTGTATGAAAATAAATTATAATTAAAAGGATGTGTCCATGCTAACTTGCAAAAGCCATTGATGTGGAATATATGGATTGCTGCAGATATTTTGACTTCTAAGTCTATTTTCTTGGGAAAATGTTGACCCAAATGAGGAGAACTGGGATTAAATTGTTAATATTCGTCTACCTTTTGTGTGCATCTAGTCTTAATTCATTGGTGTAACGGGTGTTTTCAGTCTGCTTAGTCATGGACTTCAGGAGGAAATATAACAAACATTTCATTCACGTTTCTGACAAATTCTTTGTACCCTGAAGCACTTGTAAGGGAGGCAGAGCATCAGAAATTAAATTAATAAGACAAGGTAGAATACAGCCTGAGATGAAGTTTAGGTTTAACTGGTTCTCCTGGGAATTTTGCAAGAGGAGGAAAAGAGGATTTGTCTATTTAGAGTCACTGTCTATAACCTTATATTTCATTCTGAGAACAAGATCTCTTTGAAGCTTCAGGAGCACTGGAAATCCAGACAGTTTGGCTTTTGGAAATTTCAGCAAGGCTATACAGAAAACAGAGATGGAGAAACAGCTCATTAACAATGCATGTTAACAATAATGTGACTGATTGAAGAGGCCATTAGATTTGGACATGTCTCATCTTTTAGAGAACTTGTTTTTAAAATTAGTGTAAAAACTGTTAGCAACCTGCAACAAAGCAAATAAAAATCCACACTGGCTGTCTTCCCCTGCAGCAGGGAGCTGTGAGTGATGCTCATGTCAGAGAGATCTGGATCCCTCTCAAAGGAAGGTCAGAGAACAAAACAAAGAGCCAGTTTGGTCCAACAGATCAATTCTAGTGATGGAAGTTCTGTTTCAGTCCTAGTACTTCAGGGCCTTGAGGGGTAAAAAAGGAAGTATTAATTTTAATTTTTTTTTTCTTATGCCTATATGGTTTTTGTTTTAATTTCGGCCTCTTCCAGGAAAGGGTTTTCTCTGCTGTGTTGGTAAATGAACAGCAGAAGGGCAAGGAAACAGAGTGAGAAAATGGAGAAAACACTTTGTCCATACAAACTGTAATAATAATAGATATGAACAGAAGTTTAATGTTATTTTTACATATTTAAACAGTTGGGTTTTGAATGCGTTGGTGGGCTTTTGGTAGCGGTGCTGCTGGTTACTGTAATCAGTGCTAATTCAGTGTACTGTGAGTGTGGCTGTTTGTTTGACAGAGAGCCTTTAACATTGTATCCTGGTTTTGTAAAAATGGACCATATCTGGACTGCAGCTTGAGTCTCTTAAACCCAAGGCCAGGAGGGCAGGCAGGAGCTCAGCAGGCCTTCCCTGGCTCACAGCTGTGCCCCAGCTCTCCTCCAAGGCAGCATCTTGCCATCCTTTGATTCTTTCAGACAGCAGCTCACAGCCAGAGTGTGCCCGTACTTTATTTTTGTTTTCAAAGTACAGTAACAGGGCAGTTCAAGTTGGTGATGTACCTGAAATGTTTTAAAATTCACATCTCCACACTTACTGGAGGGCAGATTGGTTCTGTCGCGATGTCTGATTTTAGCCCCACGTGCCTGGCTGTGCTCACAAAGTTCTCTACAAGTCAATTGCTTTTTGCAGGTTGGTTTGTGTTTCAGGCTGTGGGAGTATTGCTGTGTCCCTGACTCTGGGGTCACAGTGCTGTCCTTGTTTGCTGGGTGTGCCCTGGGCATTCCTTGGGGACCAGCTGGGCACGGAGGATCACATTTCAATGGGATGCCAGGACAGCCAGTGTTTTCTTAGGTAACTCAGTGGTTTTTCAAGTATTTTGTACCTCTGAGTGTGCAGATCAGCCTGAGAAAGGAGCTGCTGTATGAAATTTGCTTAAAATACACTTTCTTGTTGGTTGATAATTCTTGTAACAGTTGTGCATTTCTGTAACGTGTGGGTATTCACACACAAATATTGAGTGTTTCCAATAGCTCCTGCAAGAGCAGGGGAGAGGTGAGATCTGTAATAACTCCTCAGGTAGAGTTGTCTTTTTCTGTTCTTAGCAGGGATGAAATTTAATCTATTGGAAAAGTCAGTATTCCCAGTTTTATACTTCTTTCACTGCCTGTTAATTAAGTTCAACATTTACTTTCTGTGCATCAGGGAGGTAAACCGGTTTCAATGATGAAACTTCCTTGTATTCTTACGTGGTTTGTGGCACGTCTCAAAGTGAAAGCAGAACCCTTCAGGCCTTCTGTAACGGGGAGCAGCCTGGAAATGTCACCGTGGAGCAGGAAAAATTTATTTTACTAAACATCAATGTAATTGAGTTTTCCAAGATAAGTCCTCAGGGAAAGAAAACAAGTTCAGCTTGTGCTTCACTTCAGCTCCTCAGTTACTCATCAGATTTTACTGCTGCTTCCATTGCTGCCAAACATTAACTGTGATCATTTCCCTGGTCACTGAACTCTGTCAATAAAACCTTGCATTACTTTTTTCAACATATAAAAAAAAATCTGGAGATTTTCTTATTGTCCACTCTTTCCCCCTCAGTCACTGAACAGTTTATGCATTGGGCAAAAGAAGTCCTTTCCATTAACTGTTATTTCTACAAATTTCATTTAGGTTCAGTAATTTTTTTTCCTGGACTTCTTTTTATGAGCAAAAATAGTAATTAAACTCTTCAGAGAAGCAGAAATGGGACCTTTCTAAATGAGGTGTGGCAAACAGCTTGATTTGCTGCCTGGGCTAACTTCAGTGTCACTTGTTTTTGCAAACAGAGGGCAATATATGAGAGAGAGATGTGGAAAAGCAGAGTTACCAGTTGATGTGCCATCTCCTTGTTTCGGCATTCCAGGAGCTGCTGTCCCTCTCTCTCTCTCCTGCTTCCCTCTATAATTTAATATCTCACACCAGTGAGCCACAGCTTGCAGCATGTAATTAAATGATCTCCTGTGCAACCCAAATTGAATAATAGGTATCTGAACTCTTTCCTGTTTTGAGAATTCATGGGAATAAATATGTGGAGTTTTCCATTCTGTTGATACCTGCTCAGGTTCTGACATCTACCAGAGTTCCAAGTGGTGAAGGAATTCCTCTGTTAAGCCCTAGAATCCCAGAATCGTTTAGGTTGGAAGGGACCTGGAAGCTCCTCTCATCCCAACCCCTGGCACGGGGACTCCTTGCACTGCATCCCTGTATTATTTCAATCTGTGAAATTCTTTAGGAGCTAATGTCCTGGTTGGTTTTGGGCAGCAGCAATGAGCAGACCTGAGTAGAACTCACCATGGAGGCGAAGCGCGTGGCCATCGGCGTGCAGGGGATGACCTGCAGCTCCTGCGTGCAGAGCATCGAGCAGCACCTTGGCAGCATGAATGGCATCCACAGCATTAAAGTAAGTGACTCCAGCACTGCTTCTGGCAAAGGTTTGGATGAGAAACCATGAGAAATTGTGCTCTGAGAGAGGAAAATAACATAGGGAGAGTTTATTCTGATGTTGGAGGTGCATTGGTGTATTTCCGGTAAATAAAAGAAAAACAGGTGCTGGCTTCACTGCAGAGGGAGTTAAGTCATTGTTGCTCTTACTTGATTGTCTGCTTTACAATTAACTCAGTATTGTGAAGTAATGGGGGAAGAAAAAAAGGCAAGAACGGGGTTTGTCCTAATTCAGGCTTTCTTTGCCTGACTTAGTTTTAACTTTTTTCTTAGCTCAGAGGAGATAGCAACATTGTTAATCTTTCTTCTGTCGTGGGCAAAATATTGGACTGTAGAATGTTCCAGGGTGAGCTGATCATCCTTGCAGAATACTTAATTTTACAGTAGTTTTAATAATGGAAGTAATTAAAAAGCTGGCAGACTCCTATGAATTTTGTAACCCAGCCTGTGGTAGAAAGAACAGTTCTAACCAGAGAAAATTGAGTAGTTTATTTATTTAGTATCTGTGTTCTGAAAACATCCTCTTACATTCTGTAGTAGTTGACTTTACTCCAAAGAAAATAATATCTTCCTGGTTTTATCAACAGTTAACACCTGTTTTATGGGGACGTCTTAGGGCACACAGAACTGGGCACATTTTTAATTTGGGTTTGTGTGATCATTGTCTGGAGCTGGTTTTGCAGGACCCATTGCTGTGTACTTCCCCTGCAGAGTAGGTGCTGCACAGTTCAGAGCAATTCCCTGTGGCCTGAAATAGGTGTTTGTGTACAGAAATTTTGGTAAAAAGCAGCAAAATTTAGAAGACGGATAATTTTTCATCTTCCTTCAGCTGCAGAGGAGCTTTAATGTGAGTTTGTGCTGTGACAGCTCTGAACAGCCCCCTGTGCATGGCCAGATAAATCACTGGGTGTCTGCAAGCATGAACCCAGATAAGGCTAAAAGCAGCCTGGAAAATTATACCCCCAAACAATCTGATTTCAGAATCTTCTCTTTCTCCTTATTCTAGCAAAAGATGTCATTTTGTCAGCCTTGTGTTTTCTCAGGTGATTTCTGAGAATACACAGGGGACTTTGGATAGGATAAGGAGATTTGTACAAGGTGCATTGTCAGTGTCTCTTACAAAAGGAACGAAGTAGGTTTTTAAAAGGACAGTATTAAAGTTTTTGTGTTTAGGTTTTTAGGTAAATATCTTATCCTAAAGCTGAATGCTGTTTCAAAAGATACATTGCAAAACCTTAGTCTGAGTAGAGCAGGACTCTTAAGAAACTTTAAGAGGTTATATTTAGTAATTATCCTTTTTACAGCATCAGAGCTTCAGTCTAGGCAGATCAGTTGATTCAGAAAATTCTCTGGGAATATAAAACAGGGATTTGTGTAGTGATTATGAATTAGGTCAGCAAGGGACATGAATGTAAGATGACTAATACAGACAAACAGCTGCTTTTAGGTTATTCTGCAATTAAACCCTTAAATGTCCATGTTGCTAATTCTGCTAAGGCCCATAATTGGGACAGAAATGAGGAAAGGTGGTTCTTAAAATGATTTAACTGATATAATTTAATCATGGCTGTGGTCTTTAGGTTGTACCTTTGCCCAGAGGAAAGATAGAATTGAATTGGTAATGTGTTGGGCCTCCGGCAGGCATTGCTTTTTCTTTTTGGAAACTGCAGTTATTGTGTTTGATATATCATCTGTTGGGAGCAAATTAAATTGAGGCTATGTGTATCATCAGATGGGAAAGGTTATTACCAAATGAGCATGTCTCTGGATCACCAAAATGTACAAAGAGAGGAAATCCAGCTTCTTTAATGTTTGTCACATATCAGGTGTCTAAAGTGAGTTTTGGTGAAGTCTAATGCAGGTTTTTGCTCACAGCAGGTTACCAGCCTGTGCCTCCATTGCCTGGAAATGCTGGGCTCCTTTCACTGCTGCTTAAAGCTGTGGGTTTTTTCAGAGAGTGTTTTTTCTTCCCTCCTTGTAGCCTGGGGGCAGTTACTCCTAACTGCATTAGAACTTCTGCTAACTGATTCGAATTTCTTCTGTGGGCTGTTTTGCTCCAGGGATTGAATTGGGTTAATCATCCTAATTGAAGTGAATTTGGCTCTGGAAGTTTCATTAGTGTTGGTGCTGTCTGGGTGTTGCAAGTCGAAGTGGCCAGACAGATTGGTAAAGGATGCTGGGGCTGGGAATGGGGCTGGCATCTGTTCTCTCCACCAGACAGACTGGTGAAGGATGCTGGGGCTGGGAGTGGGGCTGGGATCTGTTCTCTCCACCAGACAGACTGGTAAAGGATGCTGGGGCTGGGATCTGTTCTCTCCACCAGACAGACTGGTAAAGGATGCTGGGGCTGGGATCTGTTCTCTCCACCAGACAGACTCTGGGTGCTGGAGCTGGGAGTGGGGCTGGGATCTGTTCTCTCCACCAGACAGACTCTGGATGCTAGAGCTGGGATCTGTTCTCTCCAGCCCTGTGGTCGCAGAGGAGAGCAGGAGTCACTCAGTGTGCCTTTGCTCTTTGAGGTGAATAGTGAAAGTTGTACTGGAGGAGTATTGCTAATCTTTGCAAGTCAAAGCAGTTTCCAGTCTGGTGCAGTGTCAGCTCGCAGCTCTGTGGTGCAGTTGGCTCAGTTGCTTTGTTTATCCCCTCGAGGTCTCTCTGGAGGACAAGAATGCCGTCGTCATCTACGACTCCAAGCTGCAAACCCCAGTGACTCTGCAGGAAGCCATCTGTGACATGGGATTTGATGCTACCCTGGCTGATTCAACCCCACAACCTGTTCTACCTGACACAATTTTCCTCACCCTGCCTGCCCAGTCAGCCCTAACGCCCAGGCAGATCTGTGCCACGCTGCTGAGCAACAAAGGGATTGTGGATGTGAAAGTGTCCTCTGACCAAAGAACTGCAGTGGTGACGTTCATCCCTTCCATCACCAATGGCAGGCACATTACCCAGATGGTGCCAGGAGCAGATTTGAGCATCTCTCTGCCAGAGGTGACACCTGGAACGTGGGAAGATTCCAGCTGGTCCCAGGCAAGCAGCGCTGTGCTGCGCCTGAAGGTCGATGGCATGACCTGTCACTCCTGCACCAGCACCATCGAGGGGAAGCTTGGCAAACTGCAGGGAGTTCAGAGGATTAGAGGTAAAACCTTAGTGTGTTTTTATGGAAATTGAAGCTGGCAAATTGCAAGGAGTTCAACAGATGAGAGGTACAACCTTAGTGAGTTTTTATGTAAATTGAGGTTGGCCGTGCTGTTTGTCCTCTGATGGCATTGCGGGTTTGAGATGAGATAGCTGAGTGTGACAGTGACTCTTTGTGGGACTGGGTATTTAATTATGCTTTTAGTGTGGACTAGAAATGAAGAAAGGAGCCTACATTGTGAGAAGGATCTGGCTCTTACATGGGTGATGGTGTTCAGTGGTTGTTTTGCATTTGGTAGGCAACCTGGAGGAGTTGTGTTCGATAATTTTTATTACCAGTTATAGAAATCTCTAATAACAGATGCCTTTTTAAAATTATAATTAATAATAGTTCATATTTTCTGTCCAATTAAAGACCTAAAAGGCAATACCAGCTTACTGATATAGTTAGCTTTGGGATAAGTGTATTGCCACAGACCCCAAAACAAGGATAAATTCAGTAAGAAGTAGTGATGCCATTTATGAAAATCCTGAGGAAAGAGGAAAAATTTGAGGAGGAGTTGAAAATTGTTGTAGTATTCTACAAAAACTGGTTAAAGAACTAAGTTGTTTGACCAATGAAATCAATGAAATCTCCTTTCTGTTGCAGTTACATTTCTGGCCATTTAAAGTGTTGCTGAAAAGCTTTGACAAGATCCTGTGATGTGGTTATTATGCGTAGGGCAGTGACACACACTTATTTTATTGATTAATTTCCAGTGTCCCTGGACAATAAGGAAGCTGTTGTTGTCTACCAGCCTCCTCTAATCACAGCAGAAGAAATAAAACAGCAAATTGAAGCAGCGGGTTTCACAGCAGCCTTCAAAAAGCAGCCTAGACCCCTGAAGCTCAGTGGGATTGACCTGGAGAGGCTGAGGAATGCTCAGCCCAAGAGCTCTGAGGCATCACAGAGAGAAAACCCCAGTGGGACTGGCACAAAGACAGTTGTGTTCAGAGTTGAGGGGATGCACTGCAATTCCTGTGTCCTCAACATCCAGAGCGCCGTGTCGGCGCTGCCGGCGGTGGCGAGCGTTGTGGTTTCTTTAGAGAACAAATCTGCTGCTATAAACTACAACCCAAGCTTAATTAGCATAGAGAAGCTGAGGAAAGCTGTGGAGAATGTGTCTCCAGAGAGGTTCAGAGTCAGCCTTCCTGAGGAGCATGAGAACCTGGCACTTTTCCCCACACTGGCATCTCCACTGAAATCTCACCCTGCTTCCAAGGATCCCAGCCAGCCCCTCACTCAAGTTGTTGTGATCAATATTGAGGGCATGACTTGCAACTCCTGTGTGCAGTCCATCGAGGGAGTGCTGTCCCAGAAGGCAGGTGTGAAATCTGTTCTTGTCTCTCTCCCAAATGGAACTGGAACTATAGAATATGACCCACTGCAAACAAGCCCAGAAGACTTGAGGTCCTCAATAGAGGATATGGGATTTGATGCATCCTTTCCAGGTAATTATATGTGAAACTTAAATTTATAAGGATTATGCAGTTATGTTTAGATTTGGTACAACCCAAGATGAAATTTAGCAGCTGACATACACTTTGTGCTTGCCAAGAGAAGCTTTATATCTTCACTGCAGATGAGATCATTAAAGATAATGTACACATCCTTTAATACATCAGATTGATTCAAATGTTTGAGGTGTCTAGAAATAGAAATATGTCAGATAAATGCTCTTTTATGTCAATAGCTGCAGAAGTGGTTGGGTGCTCACATTTAATCCTTTTCACCCTGTTCCTGCAAACAGAGCATCCCCTGAATTGCTGTAAGGAGCCTGTAGTTCCAGAGCCCCTCTCTAAGGTTAAAAACATTGGTTTTGCTTATGAAACATGCACTTGCTTACAAGTTCAGCTTTGTGCTCCAGGTGAAGTCAGTGAAACTGTGTGTGAAACTAAGGTTGCAACTCAGAGGTTTTGCTTCCAGCTACAGGAGAGGACAAAGGGTGTGCAACAGAACAAAGACAATGAGGAAAGTAGTAACAGATGAGCAAAGTAGTAACAAACCAGTAAGTTGATCAGTGGCCCACCTTTGTCTTGTTTTCTTTTGCTGACTCTGAACTCCAGAGGAGTGGGTGGGTCAGACTGACAAGGTGTGTGCAATCAGTTTCCATTTTCAGTCCCAGTGAACAGCAGTGTCTCAGCAGCTCATCCCTCCCTGCTCTGGCTGTTCACACTGTCACAAACTGCTGTCTCCTTTGCAGCAAAGGCAGAGCTCCCTGTGGCCAAAGCTCAGCCCTGCCCTGAAGCACAGCTGGACTCTCACAAGCCTGAGCCACCCTCCAAGGTGCCACCAGCCCAGCTGGGCAGGCAGGAGAGCAAGACCATCTCCAAGTGCTACGTGCAGGTCACAGGAATGACGTGTGCCTCGTGCGTGGCCAACATCGAGAGGAATCTGAGAAGGGAGGACGGTGAGATGTCTGTCAGCATAGTCTGTTACATTTCCAAGCATTTGTTTGGAGAATCCTTCTGGCTTTTGCAGTGTTTTTAAGGGATGGGTTGTCAGGACAGGTGTTCCTCCTCACCTCTGGCCCATAGGGTGGGAGCAGGGACATCCTTGCTGCATTGTGGACGTGTTGCCCAGACTCTGCTGTTGCAAAAGCAGCAGCTCCAGAGAATATTTGGATTAAACAGGGAATCCTTTTGAAGGAAGAACAGATCTTTCCTCCTGGAGGGAGGTTCCCAGGTGTGCAGCTGAAAGGCACAAGCAGATGTGAGCTTTAGGGAGCTGTGAGAAGGGACAGTGTGAGTGGATTAAAGGGACACAGGTTAATTTTAGCTCTGCGAGTCAGGGCACTGGTGTCTGTGATTATATTTGCAGGAATAAATGGCTGCGTGACTGTGATGTAACAGAGTCATTAATGCAGACTGTGTTTAATTATCATAATGAAGATGGATGGGTTTCAAGTCAGCCTGGATTTTAATTTTTTTCATCCTAGAAAATGGATGGATCTAAATCCTCTCAGTGCCCAGTAGGATTGCACTGTTAGATCTGCCCTTTCTCATACAGGGTCTTCTTAAAAAAGGCTTCCAGAAATGGTAAATGCAGATCAGAGGAATATGGAGCACTGTGGTTCAGAAGAACTTCTTTTAAGGAAAAATAGATATTTTATTGTGTAGCATGGACAGAATGTTTGTAATTAGACTGTTAAAGGCATGCTGCTCATGTGGGGCGATGCTTTCATCTGTCACACTTGCACTGAGGTGCTGGTGTAGCTTCCAAACACGAGATGTTTCTCTTTATGTACGACACGGAAGCTTTCCCAGTTTCAATCAATTGTGTTGTGCCCTCATGTTACAATAAATGCAGGATGTTTCCTAAGCCCGATCTGCCACTCACGCACTTTATTTCCTAGGAATCCACTCGATCCTTGTTGCCCTGATGGCAGGGAAGGCAGAAGTGAGGTACAACCCTGCTGTCATTCACCCTGCAGCCATTGCAGAGCTCATCCGGGAGCTGGGCTTCGGAGCCACCGTGATGGAAAGCTGTGGGGAAGGAGATGGCATTCTGGAACTTGTTGTAAGCTGATCATTAAACCCAGCCACCTTCAGCTTTTATTGCTTTTAGCTGTTGGATGTGCCTGTGTTAGTGCCCACTGACTAGAGATTAGTAGTGTAATAGAGGTTAATTTATAAAAAATTAAATATAATGGTACATCAGGTGTGCATCACAGATTGTATCTGTCCTGCAAACTGTGCTGGCTTACTACTACTAGAGTGAAAATGCAGAAAAATATTCCTGTATTTTTCTGTTTCTTCCTGTTGCTAGAATTTCCTTTTTTTTTTTTTTTTTTAACTTTTTGAAGCTGAGTGTAGCTCAGTGTCCTCCAGCTCTGAGACTGAACATCCCACAGAGCTTTAGCAGGGCTTAATAACTTTGTTCCTGTGCTGTGCTTCCTCTAAAAGGGTTGGAGGGAACCCTGAGCAACATTATCCTGTGGGAGGCATCCCTGCCCAAGGCAGGGGTTGGAGCTGGATGGTCTTTAAGGTCCCTTCCAGCCCAAACTATTTTTTGATTCTGCGGTGCTCACACCCCAGATCAAAGCAATAAATAATGCAGCATAGTCACAAGCACTTTTCTTACTTGTTAAGGTGCATTTGCCAGGTAACCTGTGCTTTGCCAACAGGAAGGAACCTTTCTTTTCCAGGTGAGAGGGATGACCTGTGCCTCCTGTGTGCACAAGATAGAATCCACCCTCATGAAGACCAATGGTGTCTTGTACTGCTCCGTAGCTCTTGCAACCAACAAAGCCCACATCAAATATGACCCAGAGGCCATTGGTCCTCGAGATGTCATACAAGTGATAAAGGTGAGTTTCATGTAGGCACCAAGTCTCCTAAAATATCCAGTGTCCTTGGAAGAGTTACACACCCCAGAAATAGAAGGAAAGGCTGTTAAAGCAAAAAAATAGATCTCTCTCCTTCCATCTTCTGTCATCTTAGTGCAGGTTTCAGCAGCTAATTTGTGTGTTCTAGCTTAAAAATGCTCTCTTACAAGTTTGCCTATGTTTTTGAAAATAAATACTGTGAAAACCAGGTCATGGTAGACTTGGAGATACCAGCTATAGGGTTGTAGGAAAATCAAGAACATTTATTTAAAAATAAGGTACTGTTGCAGGTGAGATGTGAAATAAGTTTCTCAGCGTTCTCCTTCAGTTTCTCAATTTCTGTGCTTTAAGAACAACCATTTTGGAAGCCACATTTTAGAAAAGTATTTTGTTCCACAAAGGTTAATTTCTACATCAGATTGCTTTTCTCTTCTTGAAAAGTAACTAAACAATAGTAACAGACAACAGGAACTAAACAGTAATAACATTTTATACCAGAAATGTTAATAAAGTTAATCAAAGATAAGACTGGCACCATCAGTAATTTGGCAGTAACTGAGCACAAAGTGCATTTTAGAACCGACTGTTCTCTTTTTTTATTGTGCTTTTTTTCCCTTAGGATTTAGGTTTTACTACTTCCTTAGTCAAAAAGGATAGATCTGCCAGTCATCTGGATCACAAGCAGGAAATCAGGCAGTAAGTATTCCTGAACATACTAAGAGTCCATAAACATGATTCTTCTTTGTTACTCAACCATCAATCTATGATTTTTTTCTGTGACTGTGGAGACTTGCTACTTAAAATATTCTCCAGCACTTGACTGCAATACAAGTGGGTTTTTCCTTTTTTTTTTTTTTTTTCTCTCTTTTTAAATCTGAGGTGGAAAAGGTCTTTTGTGGTGAGCCTGGTTTTCTGTATCCCTGTGATGGGGCTGATGATTTACATGATGGTGATGGACAGCCAGCTCTCGCACGCTCACGCGCATCACAACGTGAGCAGTGCGGAGATGGAGGCCCTGCACTCCTCCATGGTCCTGGAATACCAGCTCCTACCAGGATTGTCTGTCATGAACTTCCTGTCATTTTTACTCTGTGTCCCTGTACAGGTGAGTGCCAGCTCCTGCTTTGTTGGGCTTAAATGCTCAAATTAGAAGGCGATGAAGGAATTAAGTTTGAAAAGTGAATGCAATTGTGCTGATGCAAAATGCTTCTGATGTTCTTATGTGCTTCTGCTGTTGCCAAAATAATGGGTGCTGGGGACTCCAGGGCAGGGCAGGCTGTGGAGAGCTGCTGTGTGCTGGTTCCTGGCTTCTTTCTTCTACCTCTGTCAAGGCACTCGAGATGGTAGTTCACGTTCAGACTCAGGTGTTTATTTCTTATCTATCTTACAGTCTCACAGCAGTGAGTTCTGCAGTTCTTCACTAACAAGGCACTTGTAAAAATGGCTAACAGTCTTCCATTACAAGGTCTTTTAAGGCTAAATTATCCAATTAACACCTAAAATTATTTTCACGTTTAACCCAATAACTAATCACCTGAAGTCTGCAATGTGGAATTTTCTGTCCAGTTACACAAAACCACCCAAACCCATGGAGAAGAAGGTGAAGAACAACCAGCCACTGCCCTAGAATCTCCATCTTGCCCCATATATATTGCTAAATTCCAAAACCTTAAAGTTTTCTGCCCTGTGATATTGCACATTTCTAATCAAACTACACACCTGTAGTCCCAGTGCTATGAATCAATTTTGGAAGCCTTCTCCAAGGCCTCAGGTCGAATACAGAATATTCTTGTGTGTCTGTGCCCTTCAGCATAGAAAGTTTAAAATTCTCAGCATGCAGAGCTCCAACAGCTGTGCACCTGAGGCAGGTCCTGAATCCCACTGGGAGGACCTGAGAATACCTGAGAGTGCTGTGGGAAGACCACAGCCCCTGCTAGAGCAGGGATTTTGTTCAGGGAAAGGGGCAAATACCACAAATAAACAGGAGAAGCTGCTGCTGTGTGCTAGAGCCGTGTGAAATGCCATTGCAGGTGTTCGGGGGGTGGCACTTCTACATCCAGGCCTCCCGAGCACTGAGGCACAACACAGCCAACATGGACGTGCTCGTGGTGCTGGCAACGTCCATTGCCTTCCTCTACTCCTTCATCATCCTCCTGGTGGCAATGGCTGAGAGGGCCAGAGTGAACCCTGTGACGTTCTTCGACACGCCGCCGATGCTGTTCGTGTTCATCTCGCTGGGCCGCTGGCTGGAGCACGTGGCAAAGGTGAGCGAAGCAGAAACCAGGGCACTGAGAGCCACTTCACACCTCGTGAAAACATCCCAGGCAGCGGCTCCGCTGGGCTCTTGTAACCTTCTGTGTTGTGAAATCATCTTTAATAACTGAACTAATAAAAGTTGGACTTAATATCAGACTGTTTGCAAAAAATGTTTTCTTAAAAGGGTAAATTGCAACGTACACTGTTGTCATTTACCCAGCTTTTTTTTAATAGTATAGTCAGAAAAATATGAAAATTATTATTCTAGGGTAAAACCTCAGAAGCACTGGCAAGACTAATTTCATTACAAGCTACTGAAGCTACTATTGTTACCTTGGGCCCTGATAACGTTCTTTTAAGGTATCTTGCTTTATCATTTGCTTTTTCTGTTGTTCCTTTTTTGTTGTTAATATGCTTAATTCACAGACAAATTTTACTATTCCATAGAACTATGAAACAAATAACTTCAGATTATGCTTAATTCACAGACAAATTTTACTATTCTATAGAACTATGACACCAATAACTTCAGATTTGCTGGCAAATAAGAATATTAAAATGCAGAATTAACACTGCTCTGCTTTGGTTTATTGGTTTATTGCTTTTTTTTTTCTGTGATAAGACAATTAGTGGATTTTCTTAATTGGAAAGTAAATAAAATTATGATAAAATAGGCCATTTCAAAGAGCACTATGACTTTCTTGTGATCATTTCTGTATGCACTAATGCCAGCCAGTGGGGTTGTGCTTAGTGTGCAGTGCCAGCTCCTTTGCTTGGGTCACTGCAATTCTAGTCTCTTATAAAACCTTGGCACCATTGCAGTGAGGAGCAAGTGGACGTGGAGCTGGTTCAGCGAGGGGACATTGTCAAAGTGGTGCCAGGAGGCAAATTCCCAGTGGATGGCCGTGTCATTGAGGGACACTCCATGGTGGACGAGTCTCTCATCACAGGTCAGCATTTGCTTTTTCCAGTGCAAAACTCTTTTCCTTTAAACAAATCTCCAGAGGGGAGGTTGAAGCTGATGGCCTCCCCAGTGTTAGGAGTTGGCAGCTGTCCCAAAGGTGCCTTTTTGAGCAGTGCTGTGTCTGTTGCTGCCCTTTTCTCAGGTGAGGCCATGCCTGTGACCAAGAAGCCTGGCAACACAGTCATTGCAGGCTCCATCAATCAGAACGGGTCCCTTCTCATCTCGGCCACGCATGTGGGAGCTGACACCACTCTGTCCCAGATTGTTAAACTGGTGGAGGAGGCCCAGACCTCTAAGGTAGAGTATCACCCCATTTAACACCTGAGGTTTGCTGTCTCATGCAGGCACCAGCACACCAAATCACTGCAGGGGTGGCTGAGACTGCTTGGATTTGAATTGCAGCTGCATAATGAAGGATCTTGCTGAATAAGGGCTCTGATCCTGTCTACTGAGCCAAGTCTCATCCTCTTATTAAGTAAATCTGTAATTACGAAGTGTGGCAAGCCAAGTGTGCTGCAAGCAGCAGCTGTGATTCTTCTCTTCTGTGCCTTCAGACACAAATGATGGTGCTGAGTGCTGTTTCTCCTTCCCAGGCTCCCATCCAGCAATTTGCAGACAAACTTAGTGGCTACTTCGTTCCTTTTATTGTGGCTGTCTCTGTGGTTACCCTTTTTGCCTGGATTATAATTGGGTTTGTGGATTTTGAAATAGTGGAAAAATACTTTCTGGTAAGTAAATCTCTTTAAACACCTTCTGAAATATTTAATAAACAGCCTTACAATTCTATTAGACTGCAGTGGTTCCCTTTCTGGATTATCCTTGCAGGCAGTTGCTGACTATTACTGCTTTTGTTATTACATTTTTTACATTATGTATTTTTTTATATTGTATAATTCCTGCATTTATACTTGAGGAGAATCCACAGTAATTAATCAACTCTTGTAAGCTAAGATTTTTTAAAAAAGTTAATTAAAAGAAATACTAAACATTGAAAATTTCCCACCATCCATCCCTCCTCTGTGGGAAGAAGTCCCTCCTGTCACAAGCTCCAATTATGTATGCGGCTCTGTAAATTCATCTTGGCAGTCAGTGGAATTCCTCTTCATTACAAATTCCAGAGGAGGGTCAGGATTCCAACTTGGACTTAAGTGTTGCTTAGATCACAGGGTTTCTTGTTTCAAAACTATTTCTGATTAGAATTTCTCAGTTTCCAGGAAAGCCATCTTCAGATCTGCTTTTTTTGCTCCTTACTATATAGATCTTTGATAGAGTATCTTTTATTACAGTGCATCATTAAAGAGTTGTAGCATGTGGTGTCTTGTTTAGGGAAATATCCTATAAATAAAACATTTGAGGGTAATTCACAGAATTCACAGAATCACTGGGTTGGAAAAGACCTTTGAGACCATCGAGTCCAGCCCAGCCCCAGCACCTCAGCTGAACCCTGGCCCCCAGTGCCACATCCAGGCTTTGTTAAACACACCCAGGGATGGGGACTCCACCACCTCCCCGGGCAGCCATTCCAGAACTTTATCACCCTTTCTGTAAAAACCTTCTTCCTAATATCCAGCCCATATTTCCCTTGGCACAGCTGGAGGCTGTGTGCTCTGGTTGTGTCAGTGCTGCTGCAGAAAGAGCCCAGCCCCAGCTGAGCACAGGCACCTTTCAGGAGCTGTGCAGAGTGAGGAGGGCACCCCTGAGTCTCCTTTTCTCCAGACTGAGCACCCCCAGCTCCAGTGAGTAGCTGCAGCTATCACTGGGTAGATGCAGTATAGAACTGCATATAGAACAAGTTGGTTAATTAATCATTAATTTAATCATTCATCTTAGGTTTTGTATACTTTGCTGAGTATTAATACCCCGCAGATACATTAGCAGATGTTTCCAACCTCCAAGACGTGTAGCCAAACGTGTTGTTCCTATTGTTTGATTTCTTCTCTGACCGAGTTCCCTCCGTGCCCAGGGCTACAACAAGAGCATTTCAGCAGCAGAGGTGATCATCCGCTTCGCCTTCCAGGCCTCCATCACGGTGCTGTGCATCGCCTGTCCCTGCTCCCTGGGCCTGGCCACCCCCACCGCCGTCATGGTGGGCACCGGCGTGGGCGCCCAGAACGGCATCCTCATCAAGGGCGGGGAGCCCCTGGAGATGGCACACAAGGTGAGCACTGGGCTGCCCGAGGCTGCCCAGCCTGGGGGTGATGGTGTGTTCTCTTTGGAGAAGATGATGGAATGTCCTGGTGGGACCTGTCCAGCCCGGGGTGTTCCGTGTTGGGTCGTGGCTCCGTGTTTGGAGTTAGTGGGTGCTTTTCCAAGGAATCTGCACCTCCATGCTCAGTTCATTGAGTGAAATCTTTCTGCTTTCCTGCAGGTGAAGGTGGTGGTGTTTGACAAAACAGGGACCATCACCCACGGCACTCCAGAGGTGATGCAGGTGAAGTTCCTGGTGGAGGGGAACCTCCTCCCTCGTCACAAAATGCTGGCGATCGTGGGGACAGCGGAGAGCAGCAGCGAGCACCCCCTGGGAGCAGCCATCACAAAGTACTGCAAGAAGGTGAGGGGCTCCCACACACAGCCTGCTCTCCCTGTGCAAGAACCTCTGGCAGGACATCCTCCATGCCACAAGATTGTTCATGCAAATTGAGTAGTTGCTGTGTTTAATTGAGGAGCCACATAACCATATTAGAGGCACCATTCAGATCTAGATTTTGATGATTATTGCACCCCTCCTCTTTGTTCAACTGCACTTCAATTTTGTGGGCTTTATAATTGCATTGTGCTTTTATATATTTTAAAATTTCATCAGTTTCCATCCTCTTTTTCTAGGAGCTGAACTCAGAAACTCTTGGGACATGTACAGATTTTCAGGTAGTTCCTGGCTGTGGCATTAGTTGCAAAGTCACCAATATTGAAGCATTGCTCTACAGGAAAAACAGAATGGTTGAAGAAAACAATGTTAAAAATGTGACACTTGTGAAAATTGAGGAGAATGCAGACGAATCAGTGCAGCCTGCTTTGATCATTGATGCTGAACTGCCAAGTAAGTTAATTCTGGGCTTGAGAATAAAATGGACAATTTTTGCTTCTGTGTCTTTAGGATCCTTAGGAATGAGGTCACTTAATTCCACCTTGGAGATGGAAGTGTATTTAATGTGTATTTAATGTGTGCCCACACATTAAATAGTTGCTCATTAGTTTATTTCATGCTCACACATCGCTCAGAACATTTAAGTTAAATACAATTTCAAGTTGCATGTTAAATATGGGACTGGAAAATCAGACAGGAGTTGTCTGTCAGCTCTCTCTGACTTTACTGTGCTTCATGCCAAGTTACTATTTGCTAGCCAAAATTATGTGTATTTGCATAACTGGTTAGTTTTCACTCAAGAGCAGCTCGCTGTTAGGTCTTTCAAGTGCATTGGGCCGTTCGTAGAAATCAGAAGCACTGAAAAGGTGTCTTGGTCCTTTACTGTCCTTTGACTTGTGGTTTTTGGTCCTCTGACATGGGGTGACTCCCCAGGACTGAAGAAATGTTGGTGTCTCTCTTGTGAAGGTCACATGAAGAGATGGCAGGGCAGAAAGTGTTGAGGAATTCTTTATTTCTGCAGTGCTGTTCCAGTGCATACTGGAGAGCCTGGCTGGGATGAGCTGCAGGGAGGCTCCCTGGTTATCCACATTGTGTTTTCTTCCTTCAGCTACTGTGACCTCTCAGAAATACTCAGTTCTCATCGGGAACAGGGAATGGATGACAAGGAATGGCCTGGTGGTGAGAAATGAGGTGGACAAAGCCATGATGGAACATGAGCGGAGAGGCCGCACGGCTGTCCTGGCAGCTGTGGATGGTGAGCTCAGGGCTGCTGCTGTATTCAGTTTGATTGCCACTAAATATCACATGAAACGTCACATAAATAGAGATGAATAAGTAGTGATGTCATAGCAGCTACAGCTGAAGCAGAGTAATGGGATGAAAAGAGATAATTAATCAGTTTTACAGCACTTTCTTGTGGGAAAGGCTCTTCCTGCACTTCTCAGCTGACAGGACAGTTGGGCATAATAATACAGTGCAAGGACTTCAAAGAAAGCAAAAGGGGAAAAAGGAGAGAAAAAAGGAATTTTTATTTTATTGTGGTTGGACTGTCCATGTTCTGTCTTGCTGCCTTAATACCTCTTATCATCCCACCTTTTACTGTCAGTATGAACTGGTTCTGGAACCGAACTTACTGGGGGAAGTTAGTTTTTCTAAATTGAAAAAGATCTTCATTACAAACACTTTCTTTCTGTTTCCAGGAGTGCTCTGTGGCTTGATAGCTATTGCAGATACTGTGAAGCCAGAGGCTGAGCTGGCAGTGTACACTTTGAAGAGCATGGGGTTAGAAGTTGTCCTCATGACTGGTGACAACAGCAAAACAGCCCGGTCCATCGCCTCCCAGGTGGGCTGGTGGCCTGGGGCTGGGGCTGGTTTCAGCAGGAAGGGTGGTGTGGCATGTTCGTATTGCTGGTGGCTACTCTGCTGTGAAAGATGGTAGTTTTAAAAAAATTGGAATAAAGAATCAAGAAGTTGTTGAATGTTTTGAAGTAACATCAGCTTCAAATTCAGAGCTGTTTTCATATCGCCGGCTGGGTTTGCTCTTTAGCTCATGAGTGTTAAAATGGGTTTCACTCTTCCTGGCCACATCATTCCAGGCAGGAGCTTTGACAGCTGCTGGAAAAGCTGTGTCCTCTCTCTCTCTGTTCAGGTTGGCATCACCAAAGTGTTTGCAGAGGTCCTCCCCTCGCACAAAGTGGCCAAAGTGAAGCAGCTCCAGGACGAGGGGAAGCGTGTGGCCATGGTTGGAGATGGGATCAATGATTCCCCAGCCCTGGCCATGGCCAGCGTGGGGATTGCCATTGGCACGGGCACGGATGTGGCCATCGAGGCAGCTGATGTGGTTCTCATCAGGGTAAGAAATCAGATTTAAAGGGAGCTGGTAGGAGGGGTCAGAAGGCCCAGGATGGTTTGGGTGATGCAGGGGTGCCCAGTCTCCATCAGCTGGAGAGCTGGAGCAGAGATTGTCTTCACTGTGTTCAGGCAGTGATTATCCCATGAAGGAAACTTCCACGTTTTCTGGGTAATGCACATTTTGGGGTAATTAAAGTTTGAGAGTGGCAAAGGAAGCAAAGTGACCTGTCCTTTGGCAAACATCAGTTACATTTGGGTAACTTCCCATGTCACCTCCAGGGTGCACAGGCACTTCTTCCTACACATCAGCTACTCCCTGGCAGACTGTGGTCAGTGTTTGGAGCTGTCCTGGGAGGGGCTGTGGACATTACTTGGATTGTGATGGATTGGCCTGAGCAGAGCAGCCTCCAGAGGGCTCACTGTGATTAGCCTGTTACATCCAGTGCTCTGTAGTGAGCTGTAACACAGGACTGTGAAGACACCACCTGTGTGCCTTCTGTCTCTCTGAGTGCTCCAATAAACATTTTCACTTGCAGGATGACCTGATGGATGTGGTAGCAAGCATAGATTTGTCCAGAAAAACTGTGAAGAGGATCCGGATCAACTTTGTCTTTGCTCTAATTTATAATCTCATTGGAGTTCCCATAGCTGCAGGTGTGTGAGTGCTGCCTGCACTAATTGGATTGGGCTCAGTGAGTAGAAGATTGCAGTGATTTACTGTTGAGTGGGAGAATTTCCATTGTCTTTATTTCTGGCTGTCAGTAAGGGCAGAGTTCTCTGCCTGGGGACGTTGCAGTGGAATATCTGTGATGATGCCTTAAGTATTAGCTTTTATATTTTTCAGATTCTGTGCTGTTTTAGTGTGGAGTTCTGAGCTTCATGTTAAGTGTTGGTAAGCTCTCTTCACAGAGCAGGGAGACAAAACAATTCCTTCTCTAGCTGGGGACCAAGGACAACCAGTCCCCAGCTAACAAATTTCCAGCTAACAAATTAACCGTGGTGAATTGAAGAGAGAAAAACAAGCAGGATGAGACTTCATAACCTAAAGCTATAATTGGACAATTAATTCCAATATGCAAATGGAGCAGAACTTATAAAAGTGAGAGACCCTCTGACCAGTCATGCATTTTGTGCCCATGTTGGTTCATCTTGGGTGCAGCCCTGGCTGGGCTCTTGTGCTGCCCAACGTGGATCCATTGAGGCCTTTGAATAAATCCCTGCTTTATTCTTTAGCTCTGTTCTAGGCCAGCCTGCACAAGGCATCAGTGAGCTGCACTATGGCCACTATGGATGTGCTCAGCACATCAGAACAGCTTCAAGATAAAAGGTTTATTGAAAGAGGCTGATCCTGCGAGCAAGCAGTTTTATTGCAGGGTGGGCAGGACATGCCACCTCTGAGTTTCAGACTGAGGTTCTAGTTGAGATAAACCACAAATCCTTATGTATTAAATATTGGTCATTTAAACTAAATCCCATTTACTAACAAATTAAAAAACAATTGTAACTGGACAGTCTGTGTGAAATTGTATTTATTAATATATGCATAATGCATATATTAATAGTGTTCCTGCAGTGTTCCTGCTCTGAACTTACTGCTGATGTCATTTTCTAGGTGTCTTCCTGCCCATTGGTTTGGTTCTGCAGCCCTGGATGGGATCTGCAGCCATGGCTGCCTCCTCAGTCTCTGTTGTGCTTTCTTCTTTGCTCTTAAAGATGTGAGTAGGAACAGTCTTGTGGTTTGTAATGTGGATTTGAAGCTCAGGTCTTCTACTTTGAGTGGCAGAAAATAAATGTGGGACTGTGAGGGCTTTTGAATAACAGTTCACAAGTCTGTGTTAAGCAGACCAGCAGTGTTTAGAAATGTAATTTCTAATGGGAAGAGATGTACAAACCAGAAGTGTTCAGAATGGGAATTTCCTTAATGGCCTTTGTGTGTTTGTGAGAAATCTTGTTGGCCAAATTATAAATGCCTCTGACTTGTGCATAATCCGTTCATATTTCAGTGTATTTCAGCTTCAGAGGTATTGATAGATTTTGGTTTTTCCTTCCTTAGGTACCAGAAGCCGAGTTCTGAGAAGCTGGAGTTCCGTGCCCGTGGCCAGCTGAGGCACAAGAGCCCGTCGGAGATCAGTGTCCACGTGGGGCTGGATGAGAGCGGGGCTGGCTCCCCCAAGCTGAGCCTGATGGATCGAATCATCACCTACAGCAGAGCCTCCATCAACTCCCTGCTCTCAGACAAGCGCTCCGTGAACAGCATCGTGCTCAGTGAGCCAGACAAGCACTCACTGCTGGTGGGGGGCTTTGGGGAAGATGATGACACAGCCTTATGAAAGACTTACTTCTCCCACCCCACTAAGGCAAAACAAAAATATCCTGAAGCAAAAAAGGCAACCAAAACAGCTGTCGTGAGGTCTGTGCATGTCCTGATCCTTGTGGAGGTCTTCTGGATGCATTTCTTCTTCAGTGTAGAGGTAGTTTTTGCAGTGACTTTCCAGGGTCTCTTGTGGTTTTTAATCTAGACTTACCAAAAATATCTGGTGCAGGGCTGTTGATGCTCACAAACAGGGCTGTGTTCCCATTCCATGGAGCTTGCAGTATAGCATTTATTTTGGCAAATTGTCAAAATACAATTAAGGAAACTAAGGAAGCAGAAACTGATTTCCCAGCCTTATACCAGGCTCTTATAGTGGAGTTTGGTACTGTGTTAAAAAATTGTGGCTTTGCATCTGCAAAATCCTGAAGGTTCTGTTTGCAGAGAGATGTGCCTTACTTCAGGACCCTCTCACTCCCACAGCCTGCCTTCTGCCAGAAATGGGTCCTCTCAAATGCCTTTTCTTGTTGTCAACATCTGGTTCCAGCTTTTCACACTCCAGGCTTCAGATCATCTCCACGGGATCCAGATTCCTGCGTGGCAGCAGACAGGGAGGTTTGGGGCCATACCCACACTGAGCTCTGCACATCCTGCCCGGAGACTGTCTGCCTTCATGGAGGTTGTCTGGGTTGGGAGGTTTGCTCATTCCCAACCTCTCCTAAGCCAAAAACTCCTGCAACACCTGAATGCAATATCAGTGTGAGGTGGTTTTAGCCAAAGTGTCCAGCTTTAGGAAGGAGCAGTGCTCACCACCAGGATCTGCTTGCACTACTCCAATGAACCAGGGGAGTTTGTCACAGACTGCCTGTGAAGTCTTTACAGTTCAGGCTTTGCTTGTGAAGTGTCTGTATTCTAGGAATGGCCCAGCATTGGTTGATTCAAACCCCCTCTGCTTGTTGTGTGCAGATCCAGGCATCATGAATTCAGACAGTTGTCATTTGTTGTTGAACTGCAATGTCAAAATGCAGCTCTTGATCATGACATCATTAATATCAAAAATATCCTCAGTGAGAAAGAGATGCTCATCAGCAATAGCTGGTTACCTGTTTGTTACTCACTGAGCCTTGCTCTCCCCATCCCCTGCTGAGGCAGTTGTTGGTAGGAATTGTTGGGTTCAATAATGTTGAATTTCATTATAAAGTGCAGTCCACGATGTAAACGTGTACCAGTTGTGCTTGTAGAGGAGAAATACTCAGTTTGGTGAAGACAAAGAGATTCTCTTCAATGTTCTGCTTTTTAACTCAAAGCCTGATGTCAGGGCATAGATTGTGTATGTAAAAAGTCCTGAGTAAACAGCTCTTGCATTTTATCTGAGAACCACCAGAAAAATCCCGTTGTGTGAGAGCAGAAGAGCTGTGCTGGGGGATGTGTTGTTAGGAAATCAGGGTGCCTGTATTGCAGTGAGGGGAGCAGTATCATGTGCTGCTGCTTCAGGAAACAAAATAGTTCTGGAGCAGGATTTGGCTTCTTAATATCTCTACATGAATATAGAGTATTTTTATAAACTAGATTACACCTGTGTGTGATATGTGGTGTTGTTACATGCTGAGATCTCTCACTGCACAGCCATTCCATGAGGTTTTGTTCTCAGTTTGCAGCAGCAGAGCTGTTCTTACAAAGCAGATTGTTACCCAGAGCTGTTTGATCTGAGGATGGATTTTAGTGCTTCACAATCATGCAAAGGTTTCAGCTGTCTTGTTTATCCACCCTCCTTCTCTGTGTTCCTGGCATGGTTGTGCAGGTGTAAGGGAGGTATTTACATATTTCTGTCAGTGCTGTGGGTGGTCTCAGCCACTCCTTCAGGTGGGAGTTTCAGTGCTGGCTGGGGAGTGGATGGCTTGGAAATGCCACATCACCCTCCCACTGCAGGAGACAGGGAGGTAATTCAGGGTTGAATTCCTGGTTAGTAAATAAAGCAGCATTAAGAACTTGTTCAACAATTTCCAGATATATTTTTAGAGCACTTTGTCTTCAACCTTTTGTTGTCCAAATGCTGTGTAGGTTGAATGTTTACAGCTTTACCTCCAACTTTTTCCCAACGCAGGTGTTTTTTCTAGGCTTTATAATTTTCTGTGAAACTCTGTGTTTGATCCAGGTACAGCAAAATAAGGCTCTTTCTCCAAACCAGGATACTTAAAGAGGTGCAGGATGATTATCAGGGAGTAAGGAACAGCAGCTGCTGGCTGGGAGGGATGTGGGAGCAGCTTGTAGGGACAGCCAGAGGATCAGACTCTGGGGAGAGGAAATAACTGAGCCCAAGGCGGGGTGGGGGCAAGGTGGTTGTGATAAACTCAGATTTTTTGAAAGCAGGTTCTGTGTCCAGCACTCCCCAAGGGTGAGGTGATGACTTCTGGGATGTTTATCTTGTGATTAAAATATTACAAAAGGTGCTTTGCTTTGAAGAACCAAAATCCCTTTCCGTTTGAATGTACAGCGCAAGTGGAATCGTGTGGGAGCTCAGTGTTTTCCCAAATGTAAACGTTTTAATATGTAAATAGGTTGCTTCTGTTGGAGACAGTTTGGATTCAGAAATTTGAACTATCACTTGGAAACACTCAGTTACAAACAATATTGTATTAGTCCTTTGTCTATTTTATTGTTTTCTGTGTCTAGCTATTTATACACCTGTGCTCTATTTAATAAAAAAGTACATATGCTCCAGGCTTTAAAAGTTACTCTTTGAATCTTACCAAACTTACTTTTAAAAGAGTTTAAAACACTTGAAATTTTATACAAAAGAAAAAAGTGAAGTTGCCAGAACACAATGGAAGCAAGAAAATACTTTTATTTATTAAAAACTATGCTTATTTTTTGCTTAGAACTTCCAACAAAATGTTTTAAACTGGAGAACTATTGTTATTCAGTTTTAGGGATGAAGAATGGAGAAGTGAATGCTGGTTGGAATGTAGGGCTGTTACAGTTCTTTGCATCTCAGAACATGTTGTCTCACGTTTCCTATTCTTTTAAGACTGTGCCTCCATCATTCTAATGGCAATTATAAGCTCTGTAATAAAAAAGTAGCGTCCAAAGGCTGTTTTAAAGCATGTTCTTTCATCTCCTTTAAGTATTTGTAGCTGTCTCAGCAAAAGGCTAAGGATTGGGGTTTAGGTGTAGTTCCAGCTCTGCTAAACACAACCTTGAGCAAACACTGAACCTGTAGAGCTTGGGGGCAAGTGGGGCTGGTGAAAGTTGGGAAATTGTGGAATAATCTCCTGTAGGAGCATCCCTGTGTTAGCAAATGGGAGAAGAGCAGAGGCTGCTGGAGCTCACACGCTCAGAACCTGTCCCAGCAGAGCCCAGCACTGAGGTTTGTAACATCTCCACACCCTTTGGGCAGGTGTTTCCAGGGGTCACTCACCCTTACAGTAAAAAAGGGGTTTCTTGTGTTAGGATTAAATTTCCCCTGTTTTGTTTTGTGCCAATTAACCCTTGTTCTGTCACTGCTTTTAGTGAGCAAGTCCGGTTCAAGTTGTATCCATGTGTTTCCAGGATGAAGAATTTTGCTTTTCCTTAAGATCTAATCCTGTAATTTCATCCTCTAAGACTGTATCAGCATAGTATGCCCCATCAGGTGTGGAAACCCACAATTTTAGCAGTGGTTTGGAAAATGCAGGTTTGTTGCACAAAAATAGTGACCAAAAATATTTGGAACTATGTAATTTAGGCCTTGAGTTATTTCAAGTTAAGGCAGTGTGTGAACCTTCTTGTTTCAAATGGAACTGTTTTGTTTTAGCCCTCATCAAATTAAAAATAAATAAATTTTTAAAAACCTCATTAAGTAGCCAGGAGGCCCCACATCCTATGGACTAAGCTGTTACACAAAAATCTTTGCCTTTGTCTGGCCAACACCCTTCATTGTGTTCAAAAAACACCAACTTTAATAGAGAATTAAAAACTAAGATTCTCCTGGAATTTAAAATGTCTCTCCATTCCTGAAACCTGACAAGTTAATGATGTTTCCTAAGTGAAACCATGAGCTGTCCCAGAGTAAATGCTGTTCCAAGCCTCTGATTTCAGTTTAGTAGGGCCTCACCTCCTTGGTGGCAGAGCTCTCACATTCCATAGCACTGCTTTGTTAGGGGAAAAATGGGTAAATTATGTCATCAAATTGAGGTTCATTCTACATTGTAAAAATCAGTGGAACAAATAACACCTGTAAGGGCTCTGACAGAAAATGATACTGTAGATAATGGTAGGATTCATGGTAATTTAAAACTGTCTTGGGCACTAAGAGACAGAGCAATGCTGTGCTCCTGCAGCTGCCACAGCCAGGGCTAACACTGGAGCCTCTGCAGCTGCTGCCTCAGACATCACCTTTGCAGGCTTGATGGAATCCATTTTACCACTTCCTGCATGGATTTTTGAACCACTCCCTAGATGCTTTCAGTTCAGGGTGGCTACAGCATCTTTTAAGATGCTCTTTCTTTTTTTTTTTTTTTTTTTTCCCCTTCCCTTTTTGAGTAATGTTTTTAGACCATATCTCTGCAGAGCAGTATGACAAGCCCTTCAGGTCAGACTCTGATTCCAAATTCAGCATCTGCCTTGACAGCAGAGCTGTGCTATGGGCAATGTGAGGGTTTTTTTTTTCCTTCCAGTTGACTGGACAATTTAAGTAGTAGCTGTGAATTTGTACCATGTCTGCTTGGTCATGAAGGAAAACTGCTGACCAGGTAAGATTTGCTTGTCTGTATCCCATTAAACACATCTGTAAAATAATTTTTTTAAGGAGAGCTGTACACACACACACGAACTTAGGTGCAGAAAAAAAAGACACAGAGAATTCTTCAGCATTTTTAAATTAACCCCTCATTCAATTTCATGCATGGACAGCCTGAAGCCCTTTGTCCCTGCAGGTGTTGGGAATGGTATTTGCAGGCAGTGGCCAAGTGAGGGAGCAGCCGGGAGATGTTTGCCTTTATTCTCTGGGCACTGTGCCCGTTTTTCAGGCAGCTTTTCCCACAGTTCCAGATTGGGTGCTCTTTATCTTTCCTACACGATGCCTGTGCTTGGATATTGACCATCTCCCACTGCAAGGAGAACGGAGCACTCAGACCCTGTGCTGAGCCTGTTTTTAAGGGGAGGTTTAAACTGCAGCGGGTGGTTGTAAAAGCAGGAAGTTTCTGCAGCCTGGGTCACGCGACACGGATGGAGATGCAGATTATTGGTCTCACAAACACACCCCAGTGCCCCAAAGCCTTTGGTCTGCCTAAACTTGCACAGTCCTGTTCCTGTTGGATAAATGAAGCAGGATCACGCAGGAGAGGGATGTGCAAGTCTAAAGTACAGCTGCTGCTTCATATTCCTAGGAATGACTCCCTAGGATGGTCACAGGTCTAACCCCAGCTCCTTGGGTTTGTCATTACCAGCCCTTTGCCCTCCTGGCTTTGCTGAACTGGTTAATTTAAAAGTGCAGGGGTTGAACTGTTTGCATGGGCTTTTTTTTCTTTAAATATTTGCAGTATATTCTAAATATTTCACAATAGGAGGGAAGGACAGAGAGGTGACTCAAGCGTGGAAGTGAGCTTTGAATGTGTGTCTGTATGTTTTCCCCATTATATGTAACTCCTTTTATCAGATACAAATTCTCATGCCTGGGCCATTTCCCATCTGTAACTGTGTTCTGCCATCTCAAGTTCTCATGTGACATCCTCCCTATTCCTCTATCTCACGTTCTTCACACAAAACAAAACAAAACAAAAAAAATAGCAAACAAGGATAAAACCAGACAACACTGAGTGAGCTGCACTTCTGCCAGAACAATGATCTTTATAAATGCACCAAGATTGCTCCAGACTTCTTATCCAATACTCTCCTAATCTATGGGATATAGTGGAATTGGTCCTATTCAGTAGAAGCCTCTTGGTCATTTTTATTTATGGCTTGCTTGGTCCTTTCTTGCTCAATGTCCTGTCTCTGCCTGGGGATCCACCAGTGTCCTGCTGTCCCTTTTCCCTCAGCTGGCACACAGCTGTCCCAAATCACAGTGAGTGCCCAAGATACTGTGTTCATGTCACCACACGATGTGACATTCCTGCTTCACACTTTTTTACCCCTAGGAGGTGACAGGAGAGCTTTTGAAATGAAAGCCTTGTCCTAATGAATGAACCCATTTCCCAGGGAAGGCAGGGTTGTGGGCTGCAGCTGGGAAGAGCTTTCCTTTCTGAGTCAGCACCGAGGAATTTAACCTTTGCCTTCAGAGAAAGCAGCACAGCATGAAGTAGTACAGGAAGAAGAAAAGGGATTAATTTCAGAACAGTTAAATAGTTACAGCTCCTGTGGATCCAGAGAAGCCCTCCCTTATCTCCTCACTGGAGTCCCTCTGAGGTTTGCTCACCTGCTCTCACTTGTGCTTCTGGCTTGGCTTAGAACGGCTCTGGCCAGCTGTGCTGCGAGCACGGACCCCAGCTGCTGAGGGCGGGCTGGATTCAGCACCACTTCAGGATTTGACTCTCAGCCCTTGGTGAAGGCTGGATTCACACTGACACTTCCAGATGTCCCTGCCCACAGGGGACACTGTGAGCACTGTCCAGGGCTCTGGGTTACAAGGACCCACGTGGCCACTGCAAGGTTGGGTCTGATTTGCTACGTCACAGGAGGGACCCCTGGGTACCCCCCAGGTTTACTCTGCAGTCAACATTGACACCATTACTGCACCTAATTTAATTTGAACCTTGATTGTAGATTTACAGCAATATGAGATCAACTACAGTGGCACACACTGACAAACTAAAGGGATGTTCCTGGTCTCCTCCATCCTGACTGGTGACCACCTCACAGGAGATTTCAAGTCACGTGTCAGTTTGTTCCCACTTGTGTATTTCATGGTTTATTGTTGTTGGGACCGACACCTTTAACATGTCTTGGAGACCCATCCAGGCTTTCCTGAGCTTTCTGACAAGTCTTGCAGCCAGAGACTCCCACCCTTCTGCCTCAGGCTGGGTGTTTTCACCCACGTGTGAGCAGTGCATTAGTCTGGCTCTCTAGGTACCTTTGTGTTTCATTTCTTGTCAGTGCATGCTCATTTGAATCAGAGAGTCTTTTAGGTTGGAAAAGACCTCTGACACCACTGGATCTGATCTTTGACCAATCACCACCTTATCAATGAGGCCAGAGCACTGAGTGCCACATCCAGTCCTTCCTCGAACACCTCCAGGGATGGTGACTCTACACCTCCTTGGGCAGCCCATTGCAGTGTTTAACAACCTTTTCCATGAGAAATTCTTCCTGATGTCCAACCTGACCCTCCCATGGTACAACTGGAGGCCGTTCCCTCTCCTCCTGTCCCTGTTCCCTGGGAGCAGAGCCAGACACCCTATCTGTCCCCTCCTGTCAGGAGCTGTGCAGAGCCACAAGGTCCCCTCTGACCCCCCTGTTCTCCAGGCTGAGCCCCTTCCCAGCTCCCTCAGCTGCTCCTCATAGGACTGACTCTGCAGACCCTTCCCCAGCTCTGCTGCCCTTCTCTTGACTCTCTCCAGCACCATTCTGTCAGCAGAGAACTGATTTTGTCACCACGACTTTCTCAGCGGTATCTGTACATTTTTGTGAGCGTGGCAAAAAAAATAACCCTGTCAGCAACAGAAAGGCCTATCCTATGGGCAAAAGACAAAAGACCATGAGCTCCTTTTTCACCCAGTACAGTGCCACATTGCACTGTGC